TATATATATAATATAAATATATATAATATATACATGTAACTCTAAATCAGTCAATTGTCATTTTATTGTATTTCATGCATTATATCTAACATCAAGCAACATACAGTCTTTTATTTTTAAATTACATAATTTGGTACATTTAGAGTAAAAAACTAGATGCGTAACTTGCTGTATCATATTATATAATAATACATTATATATATATAAATATATATTATATATGTAAATATAATATATATAATATATATATCTGGAGTGGCGCTTTGGCCCAGAGGCAATGTCTCTGTCATTGGTGTGGAACCCTAGGGTTCACCTCCTGGGCAATTTCAAATCCCGGTTAGGGTGGTTGGTACTTTCCAGTGGACTCACCACCTGTAGGAAGGTTTGGGGGTTGGTACGGTGCAATGTGATTTGGGTGGCGACTGCTGCCCCCGCGACCCGGTAACAAATAAGCGGATGAAAATGGATGGATGGATGGATAATATATATATAAATATATAATATGTTTTCCAGACTTCCACCCAGCCAGTTCCATTAGTGGATTTTTCATTACTACATTATAGTAGCACTTTTTTTTGGAATTACAAATTTGTTAGATTTGTTTGTGTTTTATTATGTTTTTGTTTGTTCAGGAAAAAATAATCTTTGAGCATTGTATCAAATATGATACAAATTGAAACTCATATATGGAAAATTATATTTGAATTTTTTTTAGTTTGTTTGTTCTGAGGGACCAATAAAGTGTCCAAGTTCAAAGAATTGGAATTTTCTGTCAATTATTTAATTGTTTGGGCTTTACAGGGTTAAGTGCTCAAAATATTGTTACAAGTCTTATGTAACATGAATTGGTTCCTAATGAAGTAACCAGTGCATATGTGGGTAAATGGTTTTTACTATTCATCTATGATATTTTTCTCCTCTGTGGAGATCTTTTATCTCACATTTAGCTTTCAACAACATAAGGACTGAGGGGTTTGAAAAGGTCAGGTCACAATTTCTGTTTATGCATAAATATGGTTATAAGCACATAGTTGTTTCCATTTATTGCCAACATAAGTTTAAATTGTTCTTTCAAAATGGGTGATGTAAACACTTGATAATGGATTTGATAAGGTACCAGATCATGTTGCATAGGACTTGCAATAATAACTTAGATTTAACTTCAACAAGTGAAACATAATATAGTAGTTTAGTCATCAAGGACAAAACAAGTCACAACAAGCAGCACAGGCCACAGCAGCACAAAGCCCTGATGCATTTATTAGCATATGCACAGTTTTATGCTAAATACAGCAGTTGAACTGGAGTGAGGTGTTTAACAAAGTTAAACTTGTACTTAATTAGTAGAGTTGTTTTTGTTGTATTTAAGTTCATTCTGTCTAAATATGGATTGCTGTCAGTTTATGAGGTGACTTTGTCGAAGATCAGAGAAAGAAAGAAATGAAATGTTTAAATATTGACTCTGAAGACAACAGGGGTGTGGTTGTGACAATAATTAAGCTGACATTTAAAAATAAAAAGTTTAAAGAAAGTTTAAAAATTAGCATAAAAATTGTATTCTATTGTTTGGGTGCTTTGTCATGTATTTATGTTTCAAAATGATTATCATTTGATTGGGTAGTTTTTTTTTATTTTTATGAAGACAGGGTTCATTCTAGTCACTTCTACTGCCGTTTTTGTTTTACTTATAACTTTTCAATATATAGAAACAGGGTAAGAAACACACAGATAAAACAAAATCAAAATAAAGCATTACAATGAACAAGTGTACATGAGTAAAACTGCTCATTACAATAAATACACATTATAGGTATATAACATAATAAAACAAAAAAGAAAGAAAAAGGAAGATCCTGCTCAGAAATAATATGTACTTTGTTATACAAACTGTACCAGTCAGCTATAAATCAAGCATTTTAAAGTTACATTGGCAGAGAGTGAGAGACTTTTATGTTATTCTTGACAAATATAATAAGAAAGGTTGCCACATCTTATCGAAAGTTGCAGAGCTGAGAGAAGCATTGTATCAAATCCTTTCTACAGTGGTATGAAAAAGTTTGGGCACCCCTGATCATTTTCAAGATTTTCCTTCTAAATCAACACCTTAAGAAGTTTCCTTCATTTTTATTGCATTGATCCTTGAGAAGCTTTAACATCCAGATATTTTATTATAGTTGAAGAGAGAGAGCCTCCTCTGCAGGCTGTGCCAGAGGAAATTTATGTCAGAGCGGACGTCTCACTGGCCTTAACCAGAGATGACCACAGAACAATTTGTCATGTCTTCATGGATATTAGTGTCTCTGCAGCCATGCCTCACATTCTTTGGCAGCGAGGCTATCATCACTGTCCAAACACTGTGGACAGGGGGGATGTCCCACGTGATGTTTCTCCTTCCCTCTCTCCACAGCCAGCATTTATTCCTCTGCGTGGTTTTGGCATGGATGTGCTTTTCCCAGCGTTTAGCCAGGAGAGGGAGAGAGGAGGGGAGCCGAGGGGAGGTATGGAGAAAAGGAGGCCTTTTCAAATGCCGAATGATGCTTTTTTAAAAGAGGCTGGGCTTTTTCAGAGCCTCGCCCCTCCGTTGTGCCCCCCCCCCCCCCCCCCCTTCACCGCCCCCCCTCTCGCCTCCCACGGGGCCGTGGCAGCAACACCATGCACCCACCTACCCCCTTCACCAGGGGCTTTGTTGCTGTACGTCACCTCACAGACTAAGGCAGAACCACTTGGGGAAAACAACAGAAACCCATTCTTCACAGTCACTTTAAATTATTCTGGTCTGAAAAAAAGATTGTCTGACTGTCAGGAGACATACAGAAGGACGCAGAGACAACTGTGATACACAAAGGAGAGGGCAGCGAATAGAGAAGAGGGATAAAGTTAAGGTGACAGGGCCTTGGTGTGCAAGAATGAGGTGCAAGGTAAAAAAGGGAGAGATAGAATAAATGCAAACTAGGAAGATTTTTTTTTCACCAAGTAAAACACAGATGTTTTAAAGTAATATAAAAATACAGCAGGGTTTCGGAAGCCAGCTATTGATGAGAAAGTGAGGCACTCGCTTCTCTTTGGTAGGTGTGTGAAATGTGTGTCTTTAGATACAAACAGCATTCCTCCAGAGATAAACTCTTGGGCCCCCATCACCCCCTTTCGTTTTACCCCCACCCAGTCTCTTCACCCACCACACAAGTGTATGTGTTTGGCCATGTAAGTGTGTGTGTGTGTTGGTGTTCTGCGTGCCCTGCACCGTGGCACTTGCAGGGGGGCAACAGAAAGAGACAGCTGTGTGCTTGAGAGAAACTGAAAACATAAGAAAGAGGGAGTGGAGGGAAATGCCAGTCAAGACTGTCACTTTTGGAGTGAGTACCAACCACTTTGACGTTAATCTTCCTTCATTCCCTTCTGTTCTTCTTTCTGCCTTTCTAATCACTGCTCTCTACCTGAAGCTTCTTCGTCACTCTTCTCCAGCTTCTGTCTTATTTTAGGAGTTTTTTTGATCAGGTATAAAATCTCAGATGTGCTCGCACCTGCAGTGCTACTCTATCTTTTATCGTTTCACTTCAGTAATATTGTAGTAAGATCCTTGCTGGTTTGCAGTACATGTCCTTGATGTACTTTACTGTGTTGTTATGTTCTGCTCTTTTTCTTGCTTTTTCCCAACTACATCTCTATGTTCTGTTTCTGGGTTGAATCTCTTTGGTAGCTGTGGTAAGTCAACAATGGAGTTTTTATTCACCTATTTCTGTTGAAGTCATCATATTACATTGAAATATTATCACATCGGACACAACATGGGTTTTGTTAGGCTTCACCGGTTCAGAATAGACATGGGTCATGGGTTGAACCTGCAGGTTCAAGCCAGGATTTCTAACTCACTTTGAACCAAAATGTAGCTATTGCTGATGATGATGTGGAGCGGGTCTGTTTGCCTTTGAATTTTACATGGTAAAATTCATATAGATACAACTGAAGAAGTAATGCAAACATAATTTTACACCAATCCAAAATTGTATCTTTTATCACCTGAAATCAGTAGAAAAAAATATATATTTAAAGGTGTTTTTTGCTGCAAAGAACATTTTATAATGTTTTAACAATAACTCGATCTAATTTTATTGTTAATGTGTTGACTTTTTGTGTTTTCTTTTTACTTCAGCTATCTTTTTACATGACAAACTTTTCGTTTTCCTTTGGTTTTCAACATGTGATGAGTTCATGTAATATGAATGTAAGACATTAATACAAAAGGTATCTAATCATATATCTGATGATTGGACAAGGATGACATAATGGCTTGGCAGTATCTATTAAAATGTGATGCATGTTTGTCCAAGATCAGAGGGCAGAGGTCAGAGCAGCACAGGCCACAGCAGCACAAGCCCTGATGCATTTATTAACATATGCACAGTTTTATGCTAAATACAGCAGTTGAACTGGAGTGAGGTGTTTAACAAAGTTAAACTTGTACTTAATTAGTAGAGTTGTTTTTGTTGTATTTAAGTTCATTCGGTCTAAATATGGATTGCTGTCAGTTTATGGAGGTGACTTTGTCGAAGACCAGAGAAATTAGATCACAAAGAAATGAAATGTTTAAATATTGACTCTGAAGACAACAGGGGTGTGGTTGTGACAATAATTAAGCTGACATGTTTAAAAATTAGCATAAAAATGGTATTCTATTGTTTGGGTGCTTTGTCATGTATTTATGTTTCAAAATGATTATCATATTATTGGGTATTTTTTTTATTTTTATGAAGACGGGTTCATTCTAGTCACTTCTACTGCCGTTTTTTTTTTATTTATAACTTTTCAATATATAGAAACAGGGTAAGAAACACACAGATAAAACAAAATCAAAATAAAGCATTACAATGAACAAGTGTACATGAGTAAAACTGCTCATTACAATAAATACACATTATAGGTATATAACATAATAAAACAAAAAAGAAAGAAAAAGGAAGATCCTGCTCAGAAATAATATGTACTTTGTTATACAAACTGTACCAGTCAGCTATAAATCAAGCATTTTAAAGTTACATTGGCAGAGAGTGAGAGACTTTTATGTTATTCTTGACAAATATAATAAGAAAGGTTGCCACATCTTATCGAAAGTTGCAGAGCTGAGAGAAGCATTGTATCAAATCCTTTCTACAGTGGTATGAAAAAGTTTGGGCACCCCTGATCATTTTCAAGATTTTCCTTTATGTATCATTGGTTGTTCGGAACAGCAATTTCAATTAAATATATCATATAGCAAACAAACACAGTGATATTTAAGAAGTGAAATGAAGTTTATAGGATTTACAGAAAGTGTGCAATAATTACTTAAACAAAAGTAGGCAGGTGCATACATTTGGGCACCCTTGTTGTTTTATTGATTTGAATACCTTTAGCACTAATTATTGGAAAACAAAATTTGTTTGGTAAGCTCATTGACCCTTGACCTGCATACACAGGTGAAGCCAATCATGAGAAAGGGTATTTAAGGTGGCCAGTTGCAAGTTGTTCTCCCCTTTGCATCTTCTCTGAAGACTAGCAACATGGGAGCCTCAAAACAACTGTCAAATGACATGAAAACAAAGATTATTCAACAACATGGTTTAGGGGAAGGATACAAAAAGCTAGCTCAGAGATTTCAGCTGTCAGTTTCCACTGTGAGGAACATAGTGAGGAAATGGAAGACCACAGGCACAGTTCTAGTTAAGGCCCGTAGTGGCAGGCCAAGAAAAATCTCAGATAAGCAGAGGC